TTATAAGGTATTTCTATACTTTTAACTATATTAAGCTTAATATATAGGATAAGAGTAACCTTTTAAAGACCTTTTAAGTAACTAAAAAGTAATTTAATTATATATAAAGGGTATTTATTAAGCTTTATTTTTTAAGGATTAATCTAACTATAAATAAGTATATAATCCCTTTTATAGGCAGATTAAAAGAAATAATAATTATTAAGAATAAACCTATACCTATAGGGTTTAAAGTTTAGGTTATTGCCTAATAAGGCTTCTTTTTATAATAGCTTTAATATATAAAGGCATTACTATATAAGGCTATTATAGTTAAGCTACTTATATTAATATTATATAATAAAAAGGAAAAGCTATAAATTAAGATTCCTCTTATTAATATATAAAGTATTATAGTTTACTTACTAAAAAGGCTATTAATATAAATATATTATATCTTTATAAATAACCTCTTTTATTACTATAGCTCTTTTGCCTTTTTTAGTAGCTTAGCTATAGTATTATAGATATAGTATGCCCTAACTATAGTATTATTATTAAGATAAAGTATATAAAAGAGACTAAAAAAGCTTTTAATAATATAGCTTTATAATATAATAAGATATATTTAATCTTAATATAAAATAAATAAATATAAATAGCTTTACTTATATTTCCTTTATTAATTTATCTTTTTCCTTTTTCTTTAAGTTATTTAAATTACTTAGAAAGATAGTAATATTATACTTTTCCTTTTAATTATAATTAGTAAAGCCCCTTATAAATATATATTAAAAAAGAGGAAAAAGCCTATTAAAAGAGATATAAAGGTAAAGTTATAATACTTATAATAAGTCTTTAATAGTAATAGCTTTAAAATAATCCTTATTCTTATTATTATTACTTAATATAATAATAAAATAAACTATATTAATTATAATAATTAAATATAATTTTATATAATATATTAATATTAATTTTAATATAATCTTTAGTAAGTATTACTTTAATCTTTTTTCCTTAAAGTTATACTTATAAATAGCTTTATTTTATAAAAGAAAATATAATACCCTTATTAAAAGCCCTATATTATACTTTAAGCTTAAAAGGAATATATTTATAATATTATTTTTAATAAATATATTACTAAAGGTTATATTAGGAAGAGAGACTATATAAAGAAAGAGGAAAATATTAATAATTAAGAAGCCTAGTAAAATTACCTATAAAGAGATATTAATTATATCTATTAAGGAAAAGATAGGTCTTCCTTATACCTAGCTTATAAGGGCTTTTAATAAAGGCAAACTTAACCCTTAAAAAAAAGAAAGGAAAAAGGAGGCTATTTATAGCCTATATTAGGAAATATATAAGGTCTATAAACTAGGTATAAATATAAAGTATATAATATAGTGATTTATAATAATATTAACTATTAGTACTTCTATTATATATTAATTTAGGTATAAATAAAGGTACTAGCCATTATAGTTATTTTAATTAGCCCCCTACCCCTGTCGTGATATCGTGGATGCCTTATGCCGCTTAAAGAGATAGTTAATTTTACTAACCTACTTTAAACCTAGCAGAGTTAATTAATGCCAGGGTGCAGAGTTGATTTTGCATTATTCTATATATAGAAATCATTAAGCTAATTAAACCCGGGGTTAGCGCAGAACACGACAGGACGCGTAGTGTAAATTACTAACTATGGCCCGTTACGAGTGTCGAAAATCCATGTCAATTTCTAGAGCCTTGATTGGTCTAAAAGTCGTAATGGGCCCCGTTACCGACTGGAAACCTTGAGTAAGAAGAAAATCCCCTCTCTTTTATCTCATAAGCTATATCTTTAGTTAGAATGATAACCACACTCGTTGCCTGCCAAAGGCAGGGGCCATCACATCAGTTCCTGACCAATCGGGCCAACTCTCGCTGCACATCCTTAAACGATCTCACGGTATCAACTACACTTTCCTCCAGTGTCCTGTACCTCAATCCCAACTCCTCCGTCGCCCGACTATTGTTAAAACCATAAACACCCTCCTTCGGGTACCCACCAGCCTCTCCCTCGCAGCTCGGCAGCGCATCTTGATACTCCGGGAACAACCTTCCAATGATCTTACAGATGTCTTGGTTGGTGAAGTATCCCTCTGTCAAAAGGTACCTTCTGTTCCCTCGCGCGGTAAGCTGAGCTTCCATGGCTTTCACGTGCGCCACAGCCAAATCCCGCACGTCGATCCAGAGGAAGAAAGACACGCCTGTGTCTGGAATCTGCGATTTGTAGGCCCCCGAGATGAAGTTATAGATGCGCTGACTTGATATATTTATCTCCTCCAGACAAGAGAGAGGTTGAATGACGGGACCAAACGCTAGCGTTGGGCAGATTGTTGTGAGGGAGAAAGCGGGCTTCCGAGCATCCATCAAGTCCCAGGCAGCACGCTCGGCGAAGAGCTTACTGGCCCGGTACCCGTTCAATGTATTTTGAAAGGCGTCATCCATGGTAAGCGGGTTCCAGTCTGACTCGGTGTACGTGTGCTGTGGAATAGTGTTGGGCTTGTAGCTGTTCAGGATTGCAGCAAAGGAGGAGGTGAGGATCACGGTTTTGACTGATGGGGCGTGGTCGCAAACCGCTGTTAGTAAGGATGTGGTGCCGACAATAGACGGGTCCAGCAATTCTCGCTTGATGTCAGTCGCCGAATAATAGAAAGGTGAGGCGACATGCATGACCACGTCCAAGCTTGTGCTTGATTGAAGGCATTCATCGAAGGCTCCATGTGCGGTAAAGTCGGGGATGACACAAACGGCGATTTCGGCTTTAGTAGTATTTTTGTATCGTGCGAGTACTTGGTCACCTTTCTCCTTGCTGCGAACCGTAATCGTTATGGAATGTCCATTACTCAGGAGGGCATCAAGAATGTGGCTGGCAACAAAGCCATTGCCACCCGTGAGGAGGACGCGAACCATTTTTCTGACACGTGAATTGGGTTAGACTTTCAGAGCGAGATCCTATCGTTTCCTGGACAAGCACATCATTTTATATGGACACACGTGGAACTATCACAGGGCACGTCGGTGGTGCTATCTGGTATTGCTCTTGATATGACCAATCAGAGTTCGAGGTGCAAAGTTCCGTGCATACTTCTGGTCAGTCGTGGGCGGGGTAATAGCGCCTTGATAGGCCAATTCTTACAGCCCAAGGGTGCAGAGTTTGGCTTTTGAGTACCTGCCGAAGATGGGATACGTGACGACGAAGACGGTATAACTCATCTTGTCGATATCGTAAGCAAATTAAGCTTTTAACAAGTTACGGGCTTTAATTCCTGCGGATCGGAGGGAATTTACACCGTAGATAAGTCTGGGGTGCCTACTATACCAATTACTACTGGTAATGGCACCTAATACCATTTTTTGCGGCCTATATACCTCCCTCTTTTGGTTTTTCTGGAGGATTTAGGTCTAGGTCGGAATATAACAATATTTAGCCTATGCGCCCTCTCTAACTTTCTAGGACCCTGGTGCTGATTCCCTACTGTAACAAGGGCTCGCTGTAATATGCCGCATTATACAAAATCTAGCCCGTGCACGCATCGAGGCTCTTCTAAATTTGGGTAAGATTAATTTTAACCCTACTTATTTTTTATTCTAATTGCAATTTCCTAAATGTGGATATTAGTAAGATTATTACAGAGTAGGCATAATCTTTATAGGCTTAGGAAATAACTATATTAGTAATCTAGCTATATACTTTAAATACCTCTATAAGATAAAACATCTTATATAAGAAATAATAATAAAAATAATTAAAATATATTATATTAATATCTATTATATTTACTTTAACCCTTTAAGTAAACTAAGTATAATAAAGATCTCCCCTATTAGCTTTTATTATAGTAAAATGTAAGAATTAATACCCCTTTTTAAATTATATACTAAAAGGCTTAGGTAAGTAACTATACTTAAATAATATAGAAGTATTAAGCGCGAGGAGAGTTGGCTTTAAGTAATTAGGGATATAGAATAGTAAAATAGCTATGTAATTTCTTGCCCAAATCTACATTCTTAGTATCCGTCCCGTTTTTAGTAGAAGAGGAAATTTATAACCTCTTATTAGCTAGTTTATTTCTTTAATATAATTTATATAGCTAGCTTTACTCTTATAGTATAAAGAAATACTACCTCCTAGGCACTTATATATAAATTAATATTTTAATTATATATATTTTATAACTATATTATAAAAATATATAAATAGCTTTATTAATACTAATATATATATAATAAAGATTTTACCTTTTTTAATTAATTTTTATTTTTATTAGTTATTTACTTTTATTAGATTATATTAATAACTATAATAACCTTAATTATCTTTAAATATATAGTTTTTAAAGCCTTATAGCTATTAGTATAATAATTAAGATATTAAATAAAATAAAATAACTTATAGCTATAATATATAAATAGCTTTACTTATTTTATAATTAATTACTTAGTATTATTATAGCTATAATAAAAAAGCCTAAGCTAGTGTAAAATAAAAATTATTTATCTGGCTAGTAATATAATATAACACTCCAGAGTCTAGTTATTATAAAAGCCTAGTATTATAATCTTAGTAATTATAGTATATATACCTTACTATTACTTAGTATTAAATGCTTTATAACTCTATAAATATAAACCTAATATAGACTAGCTTACCTGTTTAAAACTATCCTTATTATAGTAGGCTATACCTTCTTATTACTTTAAAATAATAAATATATTTATAAATATTATTAGTTATTTATATTAAAACTAAGTTACTCTTTATATAATAATTTAGCTATATATTAAATATAAATAAAATATTTAAATAAAATATTACTTAGTTTAATTAGAAATATATAAATTATATAAAGGTTATAATTTATTAGTTATTTTATTTTATAATAATAGATAATATATATTACATAGCCTGTTTATATATAAATCTTATAATTTATATTTAAATAATTTTTAAATTTAAGGCTAAGAAGCTCTTAAATTTATAATATCTAATTATATATATTATAAAGACTTTTAAAAAGCTACTTTTTTTATTTTAATAACTTATTTTATATATACCTTAATAATATACTACCTTTATATATTACTTTTAGTATATTTATTATTACCTATTATATAAGTATATATTAGTAATTTTAAATATATTATATTAAGATTATTTTTAAGATATATAATAAAGCTATAATTATTTTTTAAATTAATTATATTATTTTTAACTCTTAATAAGTTAATATTAAGCTATATATTAAATATTAATTTATTATCTCTTTAAGCGGCATAAGGCATCCACAATATTACAACAGGGGTAGGGGGCCAATTAAAATAACTATAATAGCTAATACCTCTATCTATACTTAAATTAATATATAATAGAAATACTAATAGTTAGTATTATTATAAATTACTATATTATATACTTTATATTTATACCTAGTTTATAGACCTTATATATTTCCTAATATAGGCTATAAATAGCCTCCTTTTTCTTTTCTTTTTTTTAAGAGTTAAGTCTGCCTTTATTAAAAGCCCTTATAAGCTAGGTATAAGGAAGACCTATCTTTTCCTTAATAGATATAATTAATATCTCTTTATAGGTAATTTTACTAGGCTTCTTAATTATTAATATTTTCCTCTTTCTTTATATAGTCTCTCTTCCTAATATAACCTTTAGTAATATATTTATTAAAAATAATATTATAAATATATTCCTTTTAAGCTTAAAGTATAATATAGGGCTTTTAATAAGGGTATTATATTTTCTTTTATAAAATAAAGCTATTTATAAGTATAACTTTAAGGAAAAAAGATTAAAGTAATACTTACTAAAGATTATATTAAAATTAATATTAATATATTATATAAAATTATATTTAATTATTATAATTAATATAGTTTATTTTATTATTATATTAAGTAATAATAATAAGAATAAGGATTATTTTAAAGCTATTACTATTAAAGACTTATTATAAGTATTATAACTTTACCTTTATATCTCTTTTAATAGGCTTTTTCCTCTTTTTTAATATATATTTATAAGGGGCTTTACTAATTATAATTAAAAGGAAAAGTATAATATTACTATCTTTCTAAGTAATTTAAATAACTTAAAGAAAAAGGAAAAAGATAAATTAATAAAGGAAATATAAGTAAAGCTATTTATATTTATTTATTTTATATTAAGATTAAATATATCTTATTATATTATAAAGCTATATTATTAAAAGCTTTTTTAGTCTCTTTTATATACTTTATCTTAATAGTAATACTATAGTTAGGGCATACTATACCTATAATACTATAGCTAAGCTACTAAAAAAGGCAAAAGAGCTATAGTAATAAAAAGAGGTTATTTATAAAGATATAATATATTTATATTAATAGCCTTTTTAATAAGTAAACTATAATACTTTATATATTAATAAGAGGAATCTTAATTTATAGCTTTTCCTTTTTACTATATAATATTAATATAAGTAGCTTAACTATAATAGCCTTATATAGTAATGCCTTTATATATTAAAGCTATTATAAAAAGAAGCCTTATTAGGCAATAACTTAAACTTTAAACCCTATAGGTATAGGTTTATTCTTAATAATTATTATTTCTTTTAATCTGCCTATAAAAGGGATTATATACTTATTTATAGTTAGATTAATCCTTAAAAAATAAAGCTTAATAAATACCCTTTATATATAATTAAATTACTTTTTAGCTACTTAAAAGGTCTTTAAAAGGTTATTCTTATCCTATATATTAAGCTTAATATAATTAAAAGTATAGAAATACCTTATAATTAGCTTAAACTTCTATAATAGTATAAACTTAATAATTAAGTAAAGAGGGCATTAATCTCCTAGGCTAGGAGACTTTTAATAGTCTTTAATTAATATTTCCTTATAAATTCCTAAGTAAATAAGGACCCTAAGCTATATATAAGCTATTATAATAAAGATACCTTCTTACTTAAGAATATAAAACTATTTAATAAGGGGGGTATTTTAGTTATTAATAATAGCATTTTTAAGTAAGTAAGCAACCTAGCTATTAGTATATTTAATTTATAACTATATAAGGGAAATAGGTATAAAAAGCTAGAATAATTTAAGTAGTTCTTTAGGTAGAGGGTTAATCTTAAAAGTATAATATTTTAGGTTAAAAGGTTAAAAATCATTACTATAGCCCTCTTTAGGCAGAAAATCAGGCATGCTAGTAGGGTTATTAGCTGCCCTTAAAGGCAGGGTATTAAAGCTATAATTATCTATATAATTAAGTATCTTTTAGGAGCTTATTATTTTAATTAAGATATATTAAGGTTAATTTATATAAGGATTTTAATACTTTTGGCTGTATTAAATAAAGAAGCTATCTAATAAGAACTTTATATACCTTGCAGGTACTAGCATTATTAGTAAGCAAGGTAGGGCGAGTAACCCTATAGATGCCTTATGCTGCTTAAAGAGATATAATATTTATGCCTATATAATAAAATAGTCTAAGAGCTTATAAAACTTTTTATTATTAGCTAAAAAAAGGCATAAAATAGTTTTTTATTATTATTATTTTAATAAAATACTATAAATAATAGCTTAATATATATAGTATTATATTTAAAACCTTAAAGACTACTTAGCTTTATAAGTAAATTCTATAAGCCTAGGATTATATATTTAAATTAGATTTTATAAAGATACTTAAATTACCTATATTTTAGCTATTTTAATAAACTAATAAATTTATATTTATATAAAAGTAATACTTATTTTAAAAGTAATATATATTATATATATATTAATATTAATTGCTTTAAGTAATATTATTAAGTAAGCTAGGCCTTTTATTATTTTATTAAAAAGTTAAAAATACTATTTAAATTAATAAGTAATATAAAATATAATTACTTATTAATATAAGCCTTAATACCAAGTATAATATATAATTAAATTAACAGTTTAAGAAACTAATTAAATATATTCTTAAGAGAGATTTTTAGTATTTTAATAAATAAGTCTTAATAAGTTAATTAGTAAATCTATAGATATTAATATAATATTTATATTTATTATAATTATTCTTATCTTTATTATTATTAATTTCTTAACTTTTAATATTTTTATTATTTACCTTGCTATTTTTAGTAGTTTTATTCCTATTAAATCCCTTACTAACTTAAGTATTAAGGGGTCCGCTAACCTATTAACCACTAACAGGACTAGGGAGGGTTATTATATACTAGCTTTCTATTTTCTTATTACAAGCTAAGCTCTCTTAGATATATTAAGGTAGTCCTAAATATTATACTTCTAAATACAATTTAAATATATATAAATATTAGATTTAATCTTAATATTAATTATATCTTTCTAGGAATTACTTAATACGTAGTAGACCTAGAGGATAAAGGCTAGGAACTATTTCTAAGTTCTTTTATATTTAACCTTATTACTTTTCTTTATTATAAGGTTAAAAGAGAACTCTTAATAAATCTAGGGCTATAAGCTAAGTAACTAATAAAGGAGATTATAACTTATATAATAATTTATTTCTTTATATTAATTTATTACTAAATTAAGTGCCCTTACTATATATTATACTCTTTAATTATTTTTTTATAGGCTTATAAGGTTTAATGTATCTTTTAATATATTTTATCTTAAGATATACTGTATAATAAAAGCTTAATCATTAAGTAATTTAATTAATACTTATAAGATATTTTATTAAAAACCTTAATAAATAAAATACTATTAAGTTCTTTTTAGCTATAAACTTATAATAATAAAAATATTAATACTTATTTCCTTACTACTTATATTAAGTTAATTTAAGGCTTTTTAATATATTACTTCTTAATTTATAACTTATTATAAGTAAGTAAATACTTTAAATATAAGATTTTAAGATATTAATTATAACTTTTTAGCCCTTAATTTTACTTTTAATTTACTTATTTATCCTCTACTTTTAATATTAACTTAGACCTATTTACTACCTTTTTAAAAAGAAAAGAAATATTAATATATAATATATTTAATTTATAGCAAAGGATTTATTACTATATATCTTATTAATAGCCTTACTTTATCTTAGAGATTAATCTAATTATAAAATTAAATATAATACTCTTATATTACTTAAACCTAATAAATATTAAAGTTATAAAATTAGTATTTTAATATATTAAGCTTAAGTAGTATAAAATATAAAATAGGCTTTATTATTAATAGTAAATATTATAGCTAAGGTAGCTTAGCTTGGCTTTATAATATATTTAATATCTCTTTAATCTTTTTTATTAAATAGTAATAAGTTCTTAGGCCTATTTTAATATACTTCTTAATAAGGTAAGTAAAAATTTCTTAAATAAGATATATATATTAGTATATTTAATAAATAAGAAGTTAATATTTAGGAAGTAAAATAAAGAAATATTTAAGGTTAGAAACGCCTTACTTTATTATAGGATTAAGCATTATTACTTAATAAATCAGTCTTAAAGAGATTAAACTACTTGCTATAGTTTATATTTACACGTAATATTAATAACCCTGAGCTAAAACTTTATATATTGCGTTATGGTATGCTTTATATATAACTAAGTACTAATTGGAAAGTCAGAAACTCAAGCCTATTCCTTATAAAATTTAATTATAATCCCTGAAAAATCTAAGTATACCCCCGGTTAGTGGCTTTGGGAAATTCAAGTCAACCCCCTAGAAAGCGGGAGTAAATTAAATTAATTATTATATAACTATTTTTAGACTGTAGGACTAGGGACAGGATAAAGCAAGCTTTAGCGTTTTCTTATCATGCTATCATAACGCATTCTGAGGCTGAATCATACGACATGGCGGGAACCTCCTAGAGCTATACGTCTCCCGTAGCGCACAAGGCTCTATGCGGTATTAATCTAAGGAAGTTCCAGGAACACGACCATTGGCGCGAGTGAAGCACGCCCCTGTAGGAACCTTTGTAGCTAAGTTAACTAGGCTAACTGTGCTGTGAGAAGTCCCGGCCTCCACAACTTTGCCTATATAGGCCGCAGGGGTCTGTAATGTTATTTTTTTTTACCTACTACTGTTATCCAACCTACTTCAGAAGTGATGTGCTAGGTATATATAAAATCTAATAAAACAGACCCTTGTAGCCTGTAAGATTTTAGCCTTCTTAATAGTAGTGTGAAAATGACAGTTTCCCCGCCATATAGCGCAGTCTGAATCGCTGTCTCGTACTTACCTAACTCCCTAACCGGTAAATCTAACATAGATTATCCTTCTAGATTAGCGAAATACTAATCATTGCCCGAATCTATGCTAACCCCGGAAAACACTACGCTGAACCCCGCAAACTCATCAGCGCTAACTTCGCCCGCCTTCCGAGTTGGGAATGATTGAGGCATCCTAGCGGCAGATCGACTGATGTGGGACCTAATTCTATCAACTGCCGAAATGAAGGCTGGGAGAGATATAGCCGCAGCTGATGCCACTCGCTGGCAAAATCGCAGGCCCTCGGCTAAATCGCATAATTTAGATCTGCTCAAGATGCAAACCTAGTGCTATTATCTCGGACTCCTCGGGCTCCTTGGGTTTGTAGGAACTCATATTAAAGAGTTCTCGCCACCCCTCAACTCTCCGCCAACCACGTACAGACTCGGAGTCACTCATCGCTTCATTCATCGTTCCTCTTCACCTACTTTTGTGGCCATGTGGCTGTCCCTCACCAGTGTTATCCTGGGGTTTGGGTTCATGGCCCAAGCCCAGAGCTTCACCAATCCTGTGGTCTATGCGGATTACCCCGACAATGACGTTTTTCTTGGCCCCGATGGGAAAACGTTTTACTTTTCGAGTTCCAACTTCCACTACTCTCCCGGAGCACCTATTCTGAAGTCCACCGATCTTGTAAACTGGGAGCCTGTTGGCCATTCCGTGCCAACGCTTGACTTTGGCCCCGGTTACTACATGGACAACGGGCAGACTAACTACAATGGCGGAACCTGGGCTTCTACGATGCGGTACCGCCAGAGCAACAACAAGTGGTATTGGATCGGCTGTGTTAACTTTTGGACCACCTACGTCTATACAGCCTCGGATGTTGCAGGGCCATGGCAGAAATCTTCCAGCTTCCAACCTTGCTTCTACGACTGTGGTATGCTGATAGATGACGACGACACTATGTATGTCGCCTACGGAAACAACAAGGTCTCTGTGGCTCAACTTTCCTCGGATGGGCTCAGAATTGTCAAAAATCAGCAAGTTTTAACCTTTCCATCCGAGTGCACAGGGATCGAGGGCAACCGCATGTATAAGATCAACGGCATGTATTACATCCTCAACGATTGTCCTGGTGATGGTATCACCGAGATTTGGAAATCTTCGAGCCCTTGGGGTCCGTACACAAATAAGATTCTTAACAGCAACAAAACTCCAGGGCCTATTGCTGGTACGGGTTCACCGATTCAAGGCAGCCTGGTCAAGACCCCCAACGGAAACTGGTACTTCATGTCCTTTTCTTGGGCCTATCCTTTAGGTAGGGTGCCTGTTCTTGCACCGATAACCTGGGGTTCGGACGGTTTTCCCACACTCCAAACTGTCAACGGCAAGTGGGCTGAATCCTACTCATACCCTCTCCCGAAGAACGACAATACTCAAGGATGGATTGGTGGAGATACGTTTTGGGGCAACAAGCTGGGTCCAAAGTGGGAGTGGAACCACAACCCGGATACATCCAAATTCTCACTCGACAACCCTGGCCTCACACTCAGGACTGCCACAGTGACGGACGACTTGTACAAGGCGAAGAATACACTGACTCATCGACTTCACGGCAAATTTCCGGTTGGAACGGTCCAAATTGACTTCACCAACATGGCAGATGGTGATAAAGTTGGCTTGGCTGCATTCAAGGACCAATCTGCATGGATTGGTGTTGTTCGCAACGGAGGAACTTATACTGTTACAGCCGTCCATGGATTGTCACAAGACAGTAGCAACAACTGGGCAACCACTAGCACGGGAACTGTGGTCGCAACTGCGCCTATTTCACAGCGTCCAGTCTGGCTGCAAGTCAGGATGGACGCGAGGGCTGACGGCAACAAACAAGCCACTTTTTACTACAGCACCGACGGGAACTCGTTTTCTCAACTGGGTGGTGCTTACACTTTGACATCTGGATGGAATTACTTCATGGGGTACCGGTTTGGTATCTTCAATTTCGCTACGAAAGCCTTGGGAGGTTCGGTCAAGGTCCTTGGATTTGTCAGTTGGACGAACTAAACCCTTCAAGGTTGGACGGCACGGCCCTGTAACGGACATAGCACAAGGCAGCATTAGAAATACACTATAAGGTGATTCATTTAGAGTACTGCTGCCTAGGGCTAAACACAAGTATATAAAAGACCGGCCTTTGTCACTCATTTAGATAGAAAGGAGAGAGTCCCTAATATTATCGTCTATATCTATCTATCACGCAGCGGTTCCCACGTCGCATAGCTACGCTTCCCTTGACCCGATTAGATTCGGCCGTGTCCTAGTTCAGATAAGATCAGACTGGTGAATCTATCTACCAATGTAGACGAAATGGACATGTAGATCTACATAGATCTACGTCTATCTATCTACCAAAGGTCCATGTGGGTCATCTATCTATCTATCTATCTATCTCTCTGGACCTCTAGTAGATATATGCCAAGAATCAGACCCACACCGACACTGACGTCACTGCTGGCGAATTCCATCACAAGAATGATATCCGCCCCATGCCGGTGCTGCTGGAAATATTATAGCCAGTGCTATCGCGGCCGTGAGTCTCTGGGATGTCGCATTCTGAGGGTTCCTCCAGCAATAAATAAAACTACACAGACACAACGATGTCACTCAATCGCCGCCTCCGACCCTCCCGTATCCCGAGCGAACCCCAGCGAGTGATTGAACGACTCTGGCGTCAGGGTTTCCCGCTTTTCAACAACCATGTCCAAAGTCTCTGGTGAGCACTCCTCCCGTCGCCGGGACTGCTATTCATGTTCCTCAGACCGCCTGCCGATTCTCTCTCCTAACACTGCGTACTGCAAACTGACTATTTCGGAGCTCATAATCACTGCCAACGCCGATACATCGGCCAGTTTTTGTCTTTCTAAGATAGATAAGACTCGCCTGTATATATGCGGCACCTGCCAGCGCTCCTTTGCCCGATTAGAACATCTCTAGCGATACAAACGCTGCCATATAAAAGAGAAACCCTTCGAGTGTCCCGAATGCTTACGGTACGCCCGCCGCGATCTGCTGCTGCATCACCAGAAAAAGCTGCACCATATGCCGACTACTCCGTCATATGCCGGCATTTATCGCGACTCTACTAGCGGAGTCAGCGGCGTTGCCTCCGGCCGAAACCGAGCTCGCAAGCTCAGTGTTGCAGGACTCAACCCAACTGCATCCAATACGCAGGCCATCTATACAAGGCTACGGACAAACACTATTACCTATGTTAACGGCAATACGATGTAAATGATTTCTGCTGCAAATTCCTCCATTATATGGCGCATGCCCTCTACCTATACCCATAGCCTTCTCTTCAGGCCAGGCTCGATGATAAACCCCAATGCCCTCTTATACAATCATTTGCCGCAGTGAATAGCCTTGCAAGAGGCCTTGCCATTTATGCCGTCCTGGAATGGGATGACCCTGAACCAAACCGATGACGATAGTTATGAATGGTTGAGAGAATTCGAGCATCAGATCTCCTTTTACACAAATGAAAATGTGACGGACATATCTAGTCCGTCCGCCATCAGCACGACGAGCCAGAGCAGGATGAGTGATGTTATGTTGGATGATTTGAATGGCCCCGCGCTGGCTGGGATAAATACTATATGGAAATCCATCTTAATAGGCCCTTCAAAGATGCCGAATCCGTTTGCGATGGATCTATATGGTTCAGTCTTCCCGGATATCTCGAATGGGGCCTGTCTTCCGCTGAGGAAAGCTTTAACACCTGGGCGCGCCTTTCTATCCATTTTGCCATAACTTTGTTCCCGTCTCCAATGGTAAGAGCTCCTTCTAGTTCGATTCCATCCTCAATATAACACTCTTACATCTCCAGGGTTAGCACTTTTACAAACCGACTTGTAAAACCCTTAGTCGATTCCCGCCCTTGTCGGCAACTCCCATCTCCGCAAACTGCTCTACGAACTGTTCATGTCGACCCAGTTATCCTGTCGCACGCCGCTAATCCTGCAATCAATGTCTCCATAGCCTCAGACTTCCTCGATCCTCACGGCTTCCTTGAATCTACCGAAGGCCACTTATTGTTTCCTTCCTTCCATCAGGAAAAGCTCTTCCTTCAACCGGAAACCTACCCGGAAGATAAGTTGGAATCACTTCTGGTTGTAGGATTGGCGACTCATCTACAACCAACCCCCGCCCCCGGTCAATGGTGACGACGGCTCTGGTAATGCATCGGGGGCTGGTGGTTCTGAGATTGGTCATCACGCTGAGATGATTCTCAAATAGCGCTGGATTGGAGATGCGTTATGGAGGAAATGGATGAAGACCAAAGACAACCTTGCAACGATTTCACCCGCATCTCTCAATTGATTTGCCTCTCCACGCTGAAGACGATCAAGGCGCTTATGTTTTCTAGGCATAAGAACTCCGACGTAAACTGGCTCTATGGCCCTCTCCAAATGGAAGTCAAACTCAACCATTCCACCCAGGCTGAGCGTTCAAGCATATCTTAATCCAAGACTGACGGGTGAACCCTCAAAATATGCCGATTCTTTAAGAAAAGGAGCATGTCCAAAGTCGCGTTTCAGAGATCCCTATTAACTGCCTCTGCACTGGAGCAAGCCACAGCGGACGTCCAAACGCAGGCGAGCAGAGACATCCTGAGGCCGCGTCCGGAGCTGGCAGCTATGAATTACTTCACGCCTCCTTGCTCGTTAAGGAGAATGGCTGATAGAAGCACTGGCCTCACAGTATCGATAGGACCAACTTCAATTAAGTCACCTAATGTTAAACGGAAGCGCATTCGCTTCTACGAGCAGGCCGAGCAATGCATCGCCGTGGTCGTTGAGGGCGACGACGATAGGAAAAAATAAGTCGACGAACAATCCGATAAAGACAGCGACACAAACATTAGAGCCATGGCGAAGCCGACATAGATCGAGAAGCGAGTACTCCTGGCAAGGAAGCGGGCTATCATCGAGACCAAGTCATCTAAGGGAAATACCATTGCGATGCTACCTTCCACAACCCTCAAGTATCGAGAGTGCACGTTTGATCCTCAAGATAGTGCCATGAAACATTCCCGAAGCCAGCTCATGCCTCCTGCATCACCACAGGACGTTTTACGACCGACAGTACAGTCAGCGAAGTTTTTCTTTGGTGAGGGCGGCTTAGATGATGGATCCAGCTCAGCTGGCAGCGCTCTTTGTCAAACCCCATCATGCTGCAGAAGTAATCATCCCCTGGCTCGACTCAGTTGAACCGTCCAGATGGACCTCTGTCTGCTCGAATAACGTCTTGATGGGGAAGATCCTGCGCGCCTACTTCCTGCATGATTATGAGTGGTTTACCTTTCTGCACAAATACTACTTCTTCCAGAACATGGCAGCTGCAAGGCAAAGATTCTGCTCTCCTCTCCTGGTCAACTCCCTGTTTGCCCTTGCTTGTGTAGGCACCACAACCTGTGATGTAGACTCTCACTAACTTCGTTGATAGTATTGTTACCACAAGTTACCCCAACGCCTTGAGTTTTGGAACCCGCATACACTCGGGTATAAGTTCTTGGCCGAGGCAAGACGACTATGGGAGGTTGAAGAGGCTAGTTCCTCCAACAAATTGACCACTCTTCAGGCAGGTCTCTTCATAAATGTCGTGTACAACATGATGGGTGCCAACAGGATCGGCTGGATGGATATACACGCTCCGAGCAATTGAAATTGCCTAAACCCTTCGCTTGTTTGACTCTTCGGCAAAGGTTCGAAGTCGGCAATCTCAACACAATAGAGACTTTACTGCTTGGGTGTTATTTGCGTGGCAGAGGTATGATCCTTCGTCTGTGGTTATTAAAGCTCAAGCACTGATCCTCCACAGTCGCTGGTCATATCACTTTTGCAAACACCCCGCAATATTCTTCCCCCCTCCTATGCCGCTACCTGACCCTGATGGAACACCCCAAGTGGTACAGAGAGATATAGATCAGATATCCTCAAGATCCAACCATATTCTCTTTAAATTTTAATCGCTTGTTCAAAGTCAAGGCAGAATTCCCAGTTATTCTCAACAAAGTCTCTCTTCAGATTTTCAATATTGTTAAGCGTCAACCAGAGGCTACGGCACAAAACCTTTTGGAATTACGGTCAAAGATGCACAGCTAGTACAACAAGTTACCTAAACGTCTCACATTAACAACCATTGCTCTTCCAGCTCATCTCAAACTTCAGTACATCACATCACCATAATCATTTACTTTTCAATCTTCTCCAAGTATTTCTAAGGCTGCTACTACTACGAGAATCTATTAAGTGACCGCTTTACTAACGAGAGATTCAGTATACACTACTACTACGTTCTCATCAATCTCCACAAGCCTGTTGCTGCGATACCGCCGCCTAAGCCCCCCAAACTCTCCAAGCGGGAGATCGCCAGCGCGAACCCAATCCAGGATGAGTTTGTTGACGCCTACATCCGCCTTGAGACACTTCTACGCATATACCATCTCCGTCATGGCTTCGATCGATTAGACATATTCTTGCTCGCCTACCTGGTATTTCTTGCCTTCACAAACCACACCACCTAGAAAGGAGTACCGACACTGTACAACTTGAATCGCTTCGATCTGTTCTCTTGCTTGATGCAAAGGGCCTTCGTGAACAAGGTCACATATACTTCTTAGCCATGACTATGTTTCAGCTCCTCTACCGAGATATGAGGCCGGAGGAGGTGGGCCTATTTGGCAGGTTCGTGACTATGGGTCAAGAAGGTCTGCAGCAGAAGATACCCACAGACTTTATACATTCTCATTGCCTGATCAAGGTAACGAGCTTAGAAGAACAGTCTGAGAACAAGGTGCTGGATGATCTTGCTAAGGAGCATGAGGATCTGTCTTTGGGGTCTACGGGGGGTTCAACAAATACTTCGACAGACGAGGAGATGTAGTAGTGGCGTCGCGTCCTTACCAATAAAGATTAATTTTAATGCTCATAGGGCTTTTCATGCAACTTTTCAGGAAACTGGGTGAATATTACGCTTACTCGAGAAGATGATTGAATTAATCAAGCGACAGCAATGTTGTCGCCCTTGGCTCAAGTAACTGTAGTACACAAAGACCTTAATTGCCTAACGCTAAAACGGAGAGCATATATATATACACTGCTCATGCACTTCCTTGAGAGATTCTACCAACTCAGCATATTTGTAGCAGAAGCCCAATACATACATCGCGCAGCCTTAGATCTAAGATTATAGGTGACTGCTTTGAGAACAATAATGTCTTTAAGCATTTCATCAGTAGTGATGATCCTATTAAAGACGCCACAGACATATCAGCAGGCACCACCTGATAGCTCGGCGCACGACTATTTACAAGTTGACGGTTGGCGGTTCAAACTTCCTGACTGGGCGATTACTAAATTCAGAAGTGCTCGAGTTCCATTACCCCGTCCAAATACCCCTGTGACGTTCTACCTTGACGCACAAAATACGTATCGGACTGCCAGGTTACGCTTAAGTCCTTCATGTGATTTAACAATGTCTTTTCAACAGGAACTCTCAAGGAATCAAATCCAACGCTTTGTATCCTGGAAGATGCTGTAGGAGGCAATTATAGCGTGTTAGCAGCAATCTGGTCAGTCGTCGCTCTTATGATAAGACCCAAATGAATGAACCGACGGCTACCTATTATCATTCGAAGCCGCAGTATTCGCCCCCTTCTCAAGAAGCATCTTCATTACGTCGATAGGACCATTCTTCAAAACCCTTGCGAAGTCGCCTCACTGATTTGCGCGCATCTGCGACAAAAAATAAAAAACTTGGCAATGGTCAGATGGCCTTCTTTCCATGCCCAAGAAAATGGGGCGTGGTTCTTCCGTACCGAGCCTATGCTACACCTGAGGACGTAATATCAGGTCCATCACAGACGCTCGGCGACAGGCCCTAAGGAAAGAGGCAGGTCTTATATAGACGGTACGCAGCTTAACAGACATCATGCGTCCCTATGGTCATCCTGACGTTTGATCCAACTGTCAACCGAATGTCGCCAGATTTATCCAGTCTATGAGCTCTAAAGTAGTCATTCATAGACAGAAATAAGTTCTGGGACGGCTAGTTGCGTCCTTTTCAGTCACACGAGTTGAGTTCTCGTCGGCCTAGCCATGACCAGGAGGCAACTGTTTCTATTTGAGATCACGTAGCTGGAGTGTCTTGGCCCTGACAAGGCATTCCTTATTTATCTGGCGTACTAATGGCCACAAGTGTCAGTCGTACCTTTCTCCCGAAGCTAAGACATGTGACCAACCTGTAAGACGACTTAGTACTTAAGGGGCCGACACCCACCCTCGAGTTCCATATCTCAACTTCTTCTTCCATCACTTGAACCATCTTTGACAAAACAGCTACCTGGAATTATCTGACCCAGTCTGGCTGAATTTGGATATATAAGCTCCAGCTAACCCCAAAATCTCTTCTTTCTTTCCTTTCTTCTATTAATAGTTAACGTAACCCTACAGACGTTAACACAATGCCTAGCCTATACCCTCCTGCCAACTCCAGATTCTAGTCTACTCTTGGCTTTAATTAAGCCTTTATGAAAGGCCTCTTTGTGTTTGTCTCAGAGAGCGAGTCATAAGAAGTTCCCGGAAATATGTTTCCCCCCGACGCTTTCTCAACCTCTTACGCAGCTTACCATTCTACCTCCTCTAATATAACACTTAGCTAATACTCTCGCCTTTAAAAATAGCTGCTACTTAAGGGCAGGATTTAATTATCTCTATACTTATAAGCCCCTTGAAGTAGGCAAAGCAGCTTTAGGATACTCTTAATAGTACTATATTCCTGGTCCTCTTCTTTAGCCTATTTATACTACAGTAGCTAGCTAGTAAACAGCAACTCACTCTTATCTAATAATAATATCTAGGAAGCCTTATTAATTATTCTTACTAGAATTAAAAATACACTAATACGGACAAGAGGTTAGACATTATTAACATTTCAGGGCTAAAATAAAAAGGATTTACTATAAAATAAATCGCAAGAGCACATATTTAATTTTAATTGAATTTCATCTATTAATAGTTAAATAATTAAACTGCTGTATTATATAATTAGGGGGTTGCTAGATATAATACATAGAAACTACTATATCTCACCACCACCCCGCCCACCCCCCTACACCGCCACTTCGCGATAGCTTTATTTTAATTGCATTAGATTATAAATTTAATTTATTTCTTAATAAATATAGCTTTAAATTTAATTCTTTTTTAGATATTATTTAAAAAATACCTACTTAGTAATTTATATTTTTTTCTGCTTTTTTAAATATATTTCTATAGCTACTTTATTATTTAACTTCTAGGTATTCCTTTTAGCCTAATTATAGGCTAAGATTAATTATAGTATATTAAGAAAAGCCTAATTAAGGTTAAAATTAACTTATAAGTAGCTAGATAGCCTTTAAGTAGCTTCTTAAGCTCTTATAATTATAATTGCCTTATCTTTAATATAGTTTTTAATTATTTTTTAATTAAAGGACTTACCTGCGTTCTTAAGGATTAATTTAATATCCCTTTATATATTTTTTAATACTTAATTTACCTTTTAAAGTAGTTTTTTAATATTATAACTAAATAAAGGTATTATAAAGATATTATTACCTTATAAAGCCTAAATTAGTAGTATTATAAGGAGGTTTAAAATTATAAATTAATACTCTTTAGGCTTTAACTTTAATACTGCCTTCTTAATATTAATATAATAAATTCTAAATACTTTAAATATATTCTAGATATTATCTTAATTAAATGCTTTATTAAAAGCTATTTTATATATAGTTATAAAGATCTATTTTTACTAAGAGGATATTGCCTTATATATATATATCTTAGCTATCTTAACTTAATAATACCTCTTTAAAGCTATAAAAATACCTATATTAAGAGGTTAAGTAATATAAGAAGAATATAAAGGCAGCTAACTAAGCTAGACCTTATTTATATATACCTTCTTTATAAATTCTATAAAGATATAAATCTTATATTAATCTAGGATAAGAAGTTTTTATTATAATAGGTCTTTTAGTATTATCTTAAGGAGAAAAATATTATAAAACTATTATAATAAAATCTCTATATTACTTTAGCCCTTCTTATTATATATATATTTCTAATTAAAAATAAAATTATTAAAGTTTTAGCCTTATAATGTTTTTCTTATATATATAATATAAGGGGTTAGTTACTAACCTATAGTAAATATAGTCTTAAGGATTAAGATTTAAGCTAAGGTATTAGATTATATTTTCTTTAATAAAGTTATTAAGACTATTCTAGTAATAACCCTAGCTAAAGACTCCCCTTCTTAAACTCTAGTTTTATTAAGATTATATATATAATTTAAGCCTATAAATAACTCTTTATAAATAGCTAGAAGACTATAATAATACTCCTTAAGTCTCTCTTTTATAACTATCCTCCTTTTTATAATAAAAATAAATTATAATAACTTTAAAATAATACTTATATAATACTTAAAGAAATAATTAACCTAGTTTTTATTAAGATATAATTTAAAACTATTAAGTTTACTAAGATATTATATATATAAGTATATCTCTAATTTTAAAAGAGGCTAAAATGCCTTTTTATATAATATAATAAAGTTAATAAGTTCCTTTTCTTATATAGGAGTTAAAAAGAGGAACTTTTTATATTTTATTTATATTAATTAAGCCCTATTAATCTAATCTCTTAATATTAAGTAAAGAATAATTTCTAGCTTTAATATAGCATAAGTACTTATCTTAAGGGCATTAGAAATAGCTTAAAAAATTCTTATTTTATAATTAAGTATATTTAAAGTTATTTTAAAAGTTTAGAATTAATTAAATAAGAATTGTAACTGTGAGATATCTATATTATAGATGCTATTAGTTGGTGTTAAGACTATCACCAATCGGGCGGTGTGGGGGGGTAGGCGGAGTGGTGGTGAGATACGATAGTTACTGCTGACCATTACTATCGAATTACTAGGTTAGCTACACTAACTAGAAAGCAGCTAAATTAGGTGAGAATCGCTTTTTCTTCCAAAAACGGATAAATACTCTGGACAAGGCGAGCAGCATAATAACACTAACACCGGCTTCGATACTGGCAATCGCTCCCGTGTTGAGTCCACTGTAAAGAGTGCTTGGGTTTGGAGAGCTTGTACCACCTATTCTATCCTACTGGTGACTGCACAATGACCATCACACCTGCAGCAGCGAAGCCGAAAAAGCTGCAGGAAAGATACCATGATGCAAAAACCACCCAACTAGAAGCATACTGGCATAAGATAGAGTAGACTAGTTAAGGACCCTTATCAGATGCAAGCTAACCAACCTGGATGTTTCTATGCATCCTAGAGAACTGTTAAATCCAGCCTCATCCCCGGAGATATTTGCGTCACTATTCACCTGCAAACTTGTATGGCAATATGGATGTTTCATTCTCCAGAATTTTATCATATTCTTCGTCTGTCAAGTGATCCCTAACATCGTAGCTATAACAAGCCACCGCGCGCCTTGGCTTGGAGACGTCCGCGGGTGCAAATCTAGGCTGTTGCATCAAGATACCTTCGGCGAAACCGGTTCTGCAACTGACTATAAGCTTCTCCTGTATTCCATCCGTGCCATGTAACTTCTTGAGCCTACGATCCACCTGCTAAACCTCGGGCTTTTGGGCCCATGCGCTTCCCCTTCCCCGTGTTAGCGTCTCAAATTCAATTCTTTCGTGCCTAAAGAAGAGACACTTACCAGGTACAATAACTATGGTAACTCTTATTCTTCAGCGCTTCTCGAACTCTGGTCAACCATACTTGCACCTTGTTGTACTCCCAACCCATGACATTGGTAAGCATATAAAGGCCGAACCCTTCCAAGCCGGTCTCAAGAGATGCCCTGTTGAACTGCCCGACTTCCTTCCATTTCTTGTCCGCCGGCCACCCGCCTATAGGCGTCTTGATCATCTTCCTCCCAATGTTACTGAAGCCAGCTTCATTCATCCACCTAATCCAATTGTCGTCATCAATCACCTCAAATGTCTGTCCCGTCTTCTCGCCGATGCGGGCGAATACCTCCCTCCACTCCGCCCAAACACTATCTGCCGGCAGGGACCCGTCATCCGACTGCACATGAGTGCTGCAGTCCAGATGCTCCAGCCAGCCGCCCGGCTTGAGGCACCTGAAACACTCACGATACAATTTGGACCAATCCTGGAAGCACCCTATCATGTAGCGGATATGGATGTAGTCGATGGTATTGTCTGGGAACGTCCAGCCCTGCGAGACATCGTCCAGTTCAAACTTGCAGTTCGGCGGCACCCAGGTTGGCTGGGTTGGCGAGAGATCAATGCCTGTCACCTCGGCTTCGGGGAACTCGTCCGCGAAGTCCCTAGGACAAGAGTTAGATGTATGTGTATAAAGACACCCACCCCAGCCGCGAATCAAACCTGGTTGGCTCACATAGCCCAGATACCCGTGCCCGTGCCTACATCGAGAACGGTTTGCGCGTTCTTCAGCGGGGCCAGAAACAGTTTGTTGTCAAGTGCTAGATTCAGCATGTGATGGCTGGCCAAGTGTTACTTCGCCGGTTTCATTGAAAGATGTTCTTGACGGGATGCAGTACATACTTTATATCGAGCCCCTCGTTCTGCTGTTCGTCATTCGGTCCCCTAGCGTTGTTCGTCAGCCACTATGACGTAATCACTGCTCCAGGGTAGCGACGGTGTTGATACCAGTACTCGGCGGTTCTGAAGTTATGGTATGTCCTTCCATGCAGCTTGCGATATTGCAGAATTGTTGAGCCTATTGAAGCTGTGGAGACGGCCCTATTGAGGATTAGTACCCTCAAGGCTCCGGACACATGGTTTTGGTAGGGAGGCGTACCTATCATCACCAAGAGCAGAGTCGCCATCACTGTCGTGGAAATGGGGATCCTATAGCGAGAATCAGACTAAGAAGCACAGAGCAGTGGTTCAGCTGGGATTCGGTCTCCGTACGACTGCAATTTGGTCCGTGGGGCCAGCGGCGGGGTCAGCGACGATACTTGGAGCCGATGTAGCGGTTAGCGGTTCGTTCGTTTCAGCCATGGCAAAGAATTAGCCTGAGAGCGGACTCGTTTGAGCAAGTTGCGAACGGCACTAAAAGTAAGGTAAGCTCCTTGGCAGGTGCGGGGTTTAAATATGTTAGATTGGCGGCCGGGAATCGGCTCCACTTTCCTTTATCATAATATTATCCTTGTATCCAGAAAAGGAGGGGAATTGAACCAAACCCTTTCCCTGACAGACTCAAAGAATCCAGTCCCATAATCAATAACTCCATTACATTCTGGCCCACACTTTGATAGGCTCACCCCATCGTATTTGTGCGTATCCAACAAAATGTTGGCCACCGGAACGAAGCACTAGGCAGCTGCCGTGAGCAAGCTGTGGATCCCCTACCTTATTGCCCGGTTAAAACGGCTAGCTTGCAGAACCATGCCTCCTCCATCTTCCGACAGATACCCGAAGATGGGCGTTATGTGGCCTAGGCCAATCAGACATCATAGAATAAAAGGTACTTCATTCGCCACCATAATTAGCCTGAGATAGAAGTCCCAACTGTGTCGAGAGCTACAACTGCTGCATCACACTGCTTCCATCCCTTTGTTGATTGTTGCGGTCTCTGCGGCCGCCCTTCTACTGCCGCTGACCGCAGCCAAAAGCCGTCTTTTTGAGCTCTACGACCTTGCTTCGCCAAACCGTATGCTTTCGCAAGGTAGACTTTCTGCTTTTTCTCTTTTGAGAAAACTTTATGCTTTGCAACAAGCCTAAATTCGTCCCCGGCCCGGTACCTTAGTCATAATTGAAGGTCGCGATAGAAGTCTTGAAAAGCTCGTTATGAATCCGCCGGCGCCATCCTCTTGATCCGTATATCGCTTTCAACAGGGGCTCCCTGTGGGGATGAAGAAGGTAACTACTCACAAGGATCCCCACATTCAACAGGGAATTTATGTATTTATTTAGTATCATCTGCGTCGGACTATGTTGCCATACCCGTTTCCACAGAGGAATACTTACCCTATACTGATCTGAACTAGCAGTCGTCTCAATTGCTGCAGTCTTTAAGCCGACCATTGTATCACCAAGGTCTCTCCGACACACAAGGTTGTGTGACTTCCGGTATCAGACGCAGATAAAACGGATCGTGCGACAACACCAGTTACAGCTGACAAATACGATCCTATTAAATAAAGGATGAAAGAAGACTAACTTCAGTCATTCATTTAGTTAGAAGTCAAGAGCTTCAACGCACCGCCAGAATCACTTGCCAAATCGTGACAGAACCCATTTTACACTACTGGGACGTATGCAGGCATAACAACCTAATTAAGATATACCTTATAGAGATTATTTATCTTCCTTATTCTTAGTTAAAAGTATATACTTATAGTTAAAGTATTAAGAAAAATAATTTATTACAATCCTTATAGTTATATTATATAGAACCTATAAGTTTCCCTTAATTAATTAATAACTTATACTTTCTTTATATTTTTATTATAAGCCGCTTAATAAAACTTATAATTAGACTTATAACTTATATATAAGTACTAACTTATTATAATAAGTTATTATAAGTATATAAAATATATTTATTAGTACTTTTATAAATTCTAGCTTACTAGCTATTAATATAACTTCTTTATATTAATTAAGCCTAATATATATTAAATTTACTATTAAGAGATATAATACTTTAGTAATACTTAGTTTATATCTTATATAATTTATTAATAATAAACCTAATATAGCTTAGTTTAATATAATTAGACCTAATTATTATATATTAATAGCTTTTATTTAAACTATACTATATAAATATTAAGTAATATAAATATAATAGCTATATTAATTACTCCTATCTAGCAGAATGCTACTGCTAATATTACCTTAACTTTAGTTAATAATAATCTACTTATTAATTAAGATATAAAAGAAAATAATAATAACTTATTTAAAAGTAATAATAACTTTAATATTACCTAGCTTTAATAATAAATTATTAATATAACTATTAAAATAATAAAGCTTTATTAAATACTTATTAAAGTAATAAACCTCTAAGCCTAATAGGCTAATAATAATTAAAATAAACTTTAAGAAATATATAACCTTATTAATACTATTATTTATAATAAAGATACTAGAGAAATCCTTAAGCCTAACCTATTTAAGATATTTAATAAAACTTTAAGTAAACTCTTTATATTCCTTACTTAATATTAAGCCTTTATATTTTATTATCTAATTTAATTTATAGAGGAAGTAGATAAAACTAGGTATATATTAAGATACCTTAAGGGCATTACTATATAATAGTTTTAGCTATTTCTTAAAGACTAAATTACTAAAAGAGACTTAAAAGCCCTTAAACCCTAAACTTATATATTATATATTAATTACCTAGCTTTTAAAAAAGCTTTATAATAAGTATTTAAAACTATTAATAAAAAAGATAAGCTAAAAGAAAAATTAAAATACTTAAATAAACTTAATTTATATTTAAGCTTAAAGTAAAATCCCTTTAATTAGTATTTAAACTACCTTAAGATTAAGATATACTTATATTATTTTTCTTTAATATACTTAAAGAATTAATATAAGCTAAGCTATATAAAGAAGATAGACTTAAAACCTTAATAAACTATATTAACTAAGTAAATAGAATTAATAATTAATAATTTGCCTAGAAAACTTAAAACTCTTAATATAATAAATAATAAAATAATAAACCTTATTATAATAATAGTTAAAAATAAAAATATAATAAAAATATATTTTATAATATTAAAGTAAAACTAATAGAAATTAAAATAGTTAAATAAGATAAGTTTAAACTTACTTACTAAAACTATAATAAGAAAAGATATAAAGAATTATAATATAAAAACCTATTAAGACTAATTAGAAATATAAATTAATACTTAAAAAAAGAAATATATTAATATTATAAGAAAGAATAATAAACCCTAAATAGTAATTAAAATAATTAATATAATTAAAAGAATAAATATAATATATTTAATATTAATTTTATTATAACTTTAAGATTATTAAAAGTATATAATTTATTCCTTAATAAGGATAAAACTCTTAAAAAAGTATTATCCTAATTTAGTATTAAAGGAATAACCTATCTTAAGATATAAAATACTAACTTTAATAAGAAAAAGGGAAATTAAGGAAGAAACCCTTAAGTAGAAAAGACTTAAATATATTAAAGATATAAAAGACCTTAAATACTAAAGGAAATAAAATAAATAATAAAAAGGTTATAAAAGTAAGTAAAGTATTTAATAAAAAGAAAACTTAAAATTAAAAATTAAATAATAAGAACTAGTACTTATATAAAAAAGTAAAATAATAAATATAATAAGGTTATAATAATAATTAAAAAAGGAAAAAAAGTTAACTTTAACTTAAATAATAAACTAAATATTAAAAAATTTAATTAAGGTATTAATTAAGTATTAATATAAACCTTTAATAAATTAAAAGTACCTTTTAAAATTTAAAATAAAATAATTACTTATAATCCCTACTTAATAATAAATAATATTTTTATTAGAATTACTTTAAGATAACTTAATAAATACTATATAAACCTAGGTTATATTAAAGTAATTAAGATATAAAAAGAACTTAATATTAAGAAAACTAAGTATAAAGAGGAATAAATAGTTTAAAATACTAAAATTATACTTTAATATAATAAATATAAAAATTATTTCTAAAATAATAAATACTAAAAATATATAAAACTTATTAAAAAAAGAGTAATTATAAAATAAAATAATAATATTTATATCTAAGCCTATATAAAGGAGGTAATAAAAGATCTTATAACTCTAAAAAAATATATTTAATTAAAAAAGGAATTATAAAGGTACTTATATTACCTAAACTATAAGTAAATATTATAGGTATTATATATATAATATTATTATTTATAATACTAATAAGATAAGGTAATAAATAATTACTTCTTAATTTAAGTTAAGAAATATTAAGAATAGAAATTATACTTAATTATTAATATAATAGGATATTAAGTAATATAGAGATATAAAGGATTTTATATAGCTAGGCTAAAAGCTTATATAAAAATATATAAAAGAGCCTTAATATATATTTAAAACTTTAAATATATTACTTAATAAAGATAATAAGTATAATATAAAGTTAACTTAAAAAAAGATAAAGCTATTAATAAAGGCATTACTAAAGTTTATTAAGATATAACTTAATAAGAAAAAGAACTTTTTAAAGAAAATCCTTAAAAAATATCTTTAAATAATTTAAAAAAGAATAACTTTAATACTTACTTATAATAGTAAAAAGAGAAAAAGAAAGACCCCTTATTAATTAAAAAGAAAAAGACCTTACCTTAAATTATAAAATAAGAAAATAACTTATAGAGAATACTTAATAACTAATAATATTAATAAATGCCTAGATAACTTAAATTATATTTATAATAAATATAGTATAGATTACTTAAGTAAGTAGGGAAAAGGTCTATATTATTTATAAAAAAGTAATAAATAAGTAAAGAGCTAAAGGAGCTAAAACTCCTAGGAAAAGCTCTATAAATAATAATAAAATAAAATTAAAAAACCTACTTATAACTAAATATATAAATTAAAGGTAAGTAGCTTAATATACTTATAGATAGTAAAGTAAATATAAATATTATTTCCTTTAATATAATAAATAAGCTTTAAATACTATAAAAATTATAAAGAAAAAAGAAAAATTTATATTATTATAAATAAAAAAAAAACTAATTATAAATATAAAAATAGAAAAGTTATTAAAGAAATTAATTACTTTAAGGTCTTAAAAAAAAAAAAGGTATTAACTTTAATATTATCTTAATAAATAGTTTTAACTTAATACTTAAATACCTATAATTATAATACTATAATCCTTATATTAACTAAAAAACTAGCTAAATAAATTATAAAGATTATCTTTTAGATAATAAGTTAAATAATTTAGAAAATAATAATATAAGATCTTAAACTTTAACTAAAGAGAATAGTAAAGTTTAATATAAAAAATATTTACCTATTTTAAAAGGAATATAATAT